TAGAGCGACGCGGAGCCGTCGAGAGCGGCGCGCGAGCGGTTGAAGCGGTCGCGGTCCTCGGCGGCCGTGAGCGTGTTCGCCGGGTTCACCGCGCTGCGGATGTAGACCACGATGATCTCGCCCGAGTCGATGGCGTCGATGACGAAGCCAAAGTGGACGCGAATGTGGCGCGACCGCGCCTTCAAGTCGCGGCGCTGTAGCTGGTCGATGACCGACGTGTTGTCGCACTCGACGACGGAGGTAGGCAACGTCACGCCGATGATAAACGACGCGACGCGGCGCAGCGCGAGCAGGACGCGCACGACCGCGAGCAGCGCGTAGAGTTCGGCCTCGAAGGTCGACAGCGCCGTCGCCTTCTGGATGGACGAGAACGCGGACACAGTCGCGCCGCCCGCGATACGGGCCCCCGCGGAGCGCGATTTGCAAAAGCCCTTTGCCGTCGTGTGGATCTCGCGGCCGTGCGGCGCGTCGACCACGGCGTTGATGACGAAGCCCATGTCGGAACGCCGGAACAAGAGCCCCCCCGGCGAGGAGTTGATGAACCGCAGCATTCGCGCCAGACCAGCAAAGTGAGCAGGCGTCGGAGCGTGCGGCGACGCCGCCGAAGGCCGAGCGATGGAGCTCAAAACGCCGTAGCCGTAGAGCAGCCACGGCATGGTGCGGTGAGCCAGGTAGCCGATCTCGCCTAGCACCGACGGGAAGTCGAGGCGCGCGGCCGCGTCGGGCGAAGCGCCCGGCGGCGCGTCGTGCGACGCCTGGTTGAAATCAGTCGGCATCGGCGTCGGAACAGCGTGAGACGTCGAGTACCAATGGCGCGAGACGACGGCGGTGGCGTATGCGGCCTGCGTGACGCGGACGTGGCCGGCGACTTGGTCCACGGCGATCTCGAGGCCGAGGTAGTCGCCGCCGCCCTCGGTGAGCGGGAAGGCAGCGTTGAGCTCGGCCGAGAAGCGGTCCTGCGATTGCCAGCCGGGCCCGAACCTTCGCAATACCGAGGCAAAATCAAGTCAAAATCAAGGTAAGGAGGCAAATAAAGATTTTATCACGTCCAAAATATTGGGGGAAGCGCTTGTTCACGCCCCTGCAAGGCGCCCTCCTCGAGGCTGATCATGTCACGGACATCCCGGGGGGGCGGACATCCCGGGGGCAGAGCGACCACGACCAACCCCGCAGGCGGCCTCTGAGAGCCGCAACTTTGCGTCACTTGAGGTCGGCTTTATCGCCGATATTCCATAATACACTCGTTTTTCCAAGTTTCGACCTTCTGGTTCTTCAAATTTCGGTACGGACACTTCAAGTTTCGGCTTTCGCCAAAGTTTCCGCGAATGACATTCCTGGAATCGTGATTCGTGAACATCCGTCGGAGTATCAAAGGGCGGGTCGCAACGTTTCTTTGCGGAGCAGGGTTCATCCTGTTCAACCCGCGAATTTGCCTTCCCCGTGTAAAGAGCGGGTCTGGCCGCGTCCAAAGCAACCCGGCCTCTCTCGAAGTTTGGTCGCTTGAAGCGGCACAAAAAAGGACGGCCTCGTGCAATACCTCCTTCAAGGCAGGGTTGCAAAAGGCCTCTTTTCGAAAAAAGCCCACCCAGGGTCCCTCACCTGGCTACGCGTGTAAAGGGTCCCGATAGGGGTCCCGACGACCCTTCCTCGCATGGGCTGCCATATGGTTTGATATTTGCACCCGAAAAATGCGACCGTCCTTTGAAATCCGACACGGGACTGCCGCAAAGGGAAAAGTGAAAAGTCACGAGGGACCCGTGATGAGGTCTCCAGGGATCGTCCGACGGAACCGCCCACGCGACCACCTGGGGCATACTCAGAGGGACCATCCAAACGACCGTCCGACCTTCCGAGGGGACCGTCAAAAGAGGGCCCGCCTCCGGCCCCGTCGAGAAACAACCGCCCTTCGGAACAGTCCAAAAGGACTCTCCAAAAGCCCGTCCAAGGGACCCCGAAGTCGTCTTCTCAAGAGGACTTGCTCAAAGTCGCCTTCTTGTACCGTCTCCAAGCCGCCTGAAGGGTCGTCTTATCGGGCCGTAGAGATGGGCCGTCTTCAGAGCGGCCTCAATAGACTTTCTCAAGCGACCTCAATAGACTACCTCAAGGTCGTTTTGGTACCGACTTGACGACGTTCAAATTTGGGGCCTCAAGAAACTTTCAAAAGGCCTTTTCGAAAAGAGAGAAGGGCCAGGTCGGTTTGAGACCGTCGGTTTGAGACCCGAGGAAAAGGACGGTGGAACCGTCAAAGACCGCCGTCAAGAGGACCGTCCCAGCGAGAATGACCGCCTTGAAAGCTGCCTCAAGGGCCGTCGAGACGGGCTGTCTTCAAGACCGGTTTCCATGTTTCAAGACCGTTTTCAATGTCGCCTCCGAGCCGCCTGGAGGACCGTCTTCGAGGCCGCCTTCGAGGCCGTCTAGAGGACATTCGAGGGGCCGTCTCAAGGACCGTCTCATTTTTGAAGCCGTCGAAGCTGTCGAGAGAGCTGTATAGAGGACCGTCGAAAGGACCGTCGAGATGGACCGTCTCCAAGCTGCCTCGACGACCGCCTCGACGACCGTCGAAACGGTCGTTTTGAGGCCGCCTCGGCGTCGAGAGGGCCGTATAGAGGGCCCGGGTGCAGGGAAGGTGCATTCGGGTTGGGTCGGGTTCTCAATTTGTGCAGCACCAAAAGGGTCGCGGGTCTGTCGAGATACCAAACCCGCCTTCGAAAGGTCGGGTGAAGGGCCACGGCCAGACCCACTCAAAGACGGGCAAGGCCAAAACGCGCAAACCTGGCAAACCCGACCCAAGGGTTGAAGAGCAAACCCGAACCCGCCGCTGCTCCTATCTCCGGCTCCTCGAGACGGCCCTTCGAGACGGCCCCTCGAGACGGCCCCTCGAGACGGCCCCTCGAGACGGCCCCTCGAGACGGCCCCTCGAGACGGCCCCTCGAGACGGCCCCTCGAGAAGGCCTTTTAAGACGGCGACTCGAAACGGCGCCTCGAATCGGCGCCCTGGAGATGGCCCCTGGAGATGGCCATTCGAGACGTTCCTTTCGACGGCCCTTCGAAACGGCGCCTTGAGACGGCCCTTCGAGAGGCTCGGTTGGTCTCTCGGATAGTCGCTTGGGCGGTCCTTAGGACAAATCCTTTGGACGGTCCCGGAGATGGGCCCTCTGCGACCGTCGCTTTGACGGCGGCCCCGTCGACGGTCCCTTGGACGGCGACCGCCTTTCGCCAGTCTCTTCAACTGCGGCCCCTCTGCGACACTTCCCCGGGGCGGGTCCTCGGACGGTCGGTCCATCAAACCAAATGGCATCCCGTGCGAAAATTTGTGAATGAACCCCGTACCCGAAGACGCGCCTCTGGCAAGGAACCCTGCTTGGGATAGGGCCCTGCAAAGAGCAACCGATCGTGCAGAGGCCTTGGCCGCCAAAGAGGCCTTGCAGGGGCCCGCTGGAGAGCGATTCGTGCCAAACCCATTCGGGTCGCGGGTTTGTCAAACCCCGTCTTCCAAGGGTCGGGTTCGGGCCGCGGCACTCCAAGACGGGACAGCCCAAACACCCGGCACACCCGGCCCGCGGGTTGAACAGGGCAAACCCGAACCCGACGCTGCTCCTCAGGAGCGACGGGCCGTCTCGAAGTCTTTTTTTGTGACTGACAAGAAACCGCCCTGAGGGCCAGTCAAGAAGGGCCAGTCAAGAAGGGCCTTTCTCGAGACCGGTCGGACCGTCGAGAATGCCGTCTCCTTGGAGGGTCCCTTAGAGGGTCCATCGACGGTCCCTTGACCGTCCCTCTGCGACGGTCCCGTGGACGGTCCATGGGACGGTCGTTTAGGCGGCCGCTCGACTGCGGTCCCTATGCGACGTCGCGCGGGCGGACCCTCGGACGGACCCTGCGACGGTCCTTTGGGCGGCCCTTTGGACAGTCCGTTGGATAGTTCCTTGGGCGGGCCCTTGAGCGTTCTCTGTACGGGTTCTCGACGGATCCTCTGCGACGGACCCTCGGATGGTCCCTCGGACGGTCGTTTGGATGGCCCCTCGGACGGTCCCTCGGAGAATCCCTCGGGTGGTCCTTTAGACTGTTTCTTGGACGGACACTTTGGTACAGGGTGATGCCCGAGTCATCCACGCTCCTAACTTTCTTCGAGATCGAAATAATGCACTCAGTAAACACCTTTTGGCGTCTCTACGCTCGCTCTTATCCCATTGGCAGGCACTTCATGAAACGTGCGCCTCGAAATTCGCGGGATTTAGAGTGCAGGGAGCTGTTTAGGGTCATCGACGAACGGTCTGCAAAGTACCGGTCGACAGGATCGTGAATTGACGACATCCGACCCCATCTGGCATTCTCACGTTTCCGTCACAAGTTGGTGTCGACCGAGCGATCGCAAACAGCGTGCCCGACTCCCCAATTTCAGCTCAAGTTGCGGTTCAGGCTCCTTCCGAACTACTGTGAACAGGGATCCGCCGATGACGCCATCACCATCGAGCCAGGGCCGCCTGTTGGCCCTCCCACGTGCCATTTCCAAAATATGTTACCTCCTTCGTCGACATTAAGGCCTTTTGGTACAAAAAGGCGCCCTCCGGGGGTCTGCAGTACCTCCGGTGCGCCATGGTAATACCTCCTGCATATAATCGGTTCCGTCAATCGTATGTTTCTCGGTCGCGATTTGAGAGTGTGAGCGGAATCGACCTCCTATAGTCCCGTCGCCTCGGAACTGGTTGCGGGTGCCCATGAACTAGCTTTTGCAAAAGACCGTTTGTTCTCCCGACTCCTGTGGCCGGCGCGCGAAGCATTTCTTGCTCCGCGCGTTTCCCTTGATCGGGCCTTTCTCGGTCCATAGCCAACCGTTTTCGTCGCTCCTTGGGGCCACCGATCCGCGCCGAGGTCCGTCGCCCGCGCGGGCAACGTCGCTTCCGCGCGCGCCGGCGCACCCCGTTGCCAGCTACCAAGGCTTCCTTCATCACAAACGTACTGTTTTTCAGTCCGTTGAATGGCCGTTAAAGGTTAAGCTAGGGCTTTATATACCCTAGACGGTAGAGCGTTAGTCTCGTAATCTGATGGTCATCAGTTCGATCCGGTCAGGAGGCATTTTATTTTGCCCATTGCAACAGATTCGGCCAGGTCGCGAGTAGCGATTGACGCGATCGCTCAAAGTCAGGTCCGCGGGTTCGAATCCCTCGTCGTCAAAAATATGTTCAGCGGTTCATATTTCTTTATATTTTTTTGAAGCGCTTTTGATGAAGCGCAGCGGCGATGAGGGGGGTCCGGGGGGGCACCAACCGGAGAGAACGCGCGAAGGAGCCCGATATCCGATACTCACCCAATATACCGATAGGTAACCGTAGATCCTGAGATTCAAAAAACGCAGGGTCGCGGGTTCGAATCCCGTCGTCGTCAAAGATTTGTTTGACGGCTGCTTCTTTTTTTATGTTTCTTTTGAAGCGCTTTTGGTGAAGCGCAGCGGCGATGAGGGGGGTCGGGGGGGCACCCCCCGGTAGCGAACGCGCGAGAGAGCTCGAAATCCGATACTCACTCTATAGACCAATAGGACGAGGGCACCCATACATCCTGTGTTCCAAAAATGGATAGGAATCCTGCAATTGTACGGTCCAGAATCCGATTCCCGTTGTCGGTAAAGTTGCTCCGGCGCACCCCCTGACCTCCCATCCGCCCTCGGCGCCTGGCAGTTGAAGGACGCAGAGCCGCATCATTCTCCCATTCCCAAAACAAATTCACCAGCCCCGAAGCCCGGCGACCCTATATGGAAGCACCTTCCTTAAGCTTATATGCAGAGTATCTACATGCAGAGTAGATCAGTTGAGAGTTCCGTTTGATGCGCAGTTGGGGGCTCCGGTGATGTTTGGGTGGGCGGCGGGGCCTCAGGGGCGTGCCGTAGATACCCCGCGTGCTGATGCGCGTAGTTTTGATGCACTTTTCCCCTTCCGCCCCCTTGGCGCATTTGTGAGGGTCCAAGATAGTGTAAAACACGAGTAAAAGCAGATTAAAAACAGATCGGTATGCTGTTTCGAGCCACCAACACGGTTTTCGCACGTTTTTTACTCCGTCTTGGAACCTCAAAAATGCGCCAAGGCGACAGAAGGAAAAAGTGCACCGCAACTGCGCGCATCAGCACGCGGGGTATTTCCAGCATGCTCCGGAGGCCTCGCCGCCCACCCAAACATCACCGGATCCCCCAACTGCGCATCAAACGGAACTCTCAACTGATCTACTCTGCATGTAGATACT